AGAGTTTGATACTTGGGATGACAGAAACTGAAGGAACTCATTTGTATAATGCTTCAGATTTGCTTCAGCAAGCTTGGGAAAGTAAATAAACACCTGCCTATGACTCATTAAAACATCCACGCCAAATCCCTAATGGAATCTAACAGCTTCTTCTGAGCTCTGATGCTTAGCCACCCCCCATGCTGAGTTACAGTGATTACTCCCATTGAACCTATCTTTGTAGCTGTAGTCCTCCAGCTTTGGAACACCTCCACCTACTCCAGGGTCTTTCCAGCATCAAACAAGTTTTTATTCTCTCCAGCTATTTAATATTTTAGCATTAATTTTTATGTCAGTAATTTTATTTCCACTCATTATGTTCATTTAGTTAAGAAGTTCTTAACAAAATAAGACATAATTTAAAATTTAAAAACATGTTAAAGGGTTTTTTAATCTGCCTTGAGAAAACCTATTTTAAATAACATACAAAAAAATTAAATAAAACAAATAAAGTATACTTGGTTTGAACTTTTAAAGCCTTGATGGCTTGGTGTTCATTGCATGGATGGATTTTGTTTTTGGGAAGTAACTATTTCAAAATTTGCTATCTGCTGCTATCCAATTTCGCCAGTCTTTTTACCAGCAGCTTCCAGAAGCTGAATATTGTTTCCTATGCTTATCTATTGAAGACCCAGGGTTTGATTATTGCAACTCCACTTGGCCAATAAAGTTTGTTAAACTTCCCTACAGCCTTTTTGGAAAGCAAGCCAAGACATTACCTGAAACAAATAAAGTATGTTTAAAAGCCATTCTCATATTATGCAAGATTTGTTTTAAAATTAACTCATCGGCCTCCATGAAGATTCCAATTTAGGCCAGACCTTGAGAAGAAAAACACTAAACAATGTAAATTTATTCTTTGGTCACATTCAGTTGACTAAGATGTAACTTGTACTTGTTTAATCTGGCCACTCTTTAAATAGCTGTCAGTTTGCAAAAAGCTGATGCTTGTTCGTGATGAAGCAATTTCAAGAGCTTTTTGTAGAGATTTAGAGTTAGGCCCAAAAATGACGGTATATATACCTAGTGGGTTGAGATTTCAGAAAAAAAACAAAACTAAAAGAGAAAAACTATGCTAGGACATTAAGGTTCAACTTTTTATTAATATCCCCACATCTCAAAAACACTTTAAATTCTACATCCATCTAAACCAGGGGTGTCAAACCGCGCCCACCCCATTGCCAGCAATGGAAAAAACCGCGATACGTCACAACACATCACGTGACGTTCCGAGTTTGACACCCCTGATCTAAACTGACTAGTGGTGATGATTTTTTTTTGAGCATGGCCAGAGTGAATGAATTTTAATTGCCTCCTGGTTTTAGAAAGACCAATGCAGTAAGGAGCAGCAGGAGACAACATGTCCATTAAATACTGAATACATGTGAACAGTTATCTCACACTATACCTTTAGTTTGACAGAATAGTTGGAATCATCTACTGTTAATTCTTTTGAACACAGTGGCAATTGTAAACATGTGCAGATGTTTCATATGTGGTTTGAACTTTTGAACCCTAACCCACTCTTAAATCTAGCTACCTACTCATTATGAAAATGACTTGATAACACATAATCAAACACACTCTTGTCCGGTGGAGCCCCAACTGCACAAGACGGGATGATTGAGTGAGGAAGGGAGGGAGGAAAGAGGGAGGAAGGAGGAGTGGTGGTAGTTTGGGAAGAGGGCGGTGCAGGGGGGGGACACTGGACACGTCCATGAATGTATTGATTAGTGTTATTCTTTTTGGTTGATATTGTGATAAAAGATTTATGTTTTTGTTTTTAATTGAAAAATTAATAAAAAATTTATTAAAAAAAACCATTCTGTGTTACATACTTCTTGCTGAATTCCTTTATTGTAATATTATAGCTACATTAAATAAATAAGCTTTAACAGATGTAGAATTTATAGTTGATAAATTACTGCTCTAACATTTCCTATCAGAGAAAAAGGACAATTTTTTTTTTGTATCTTCATTGCTGCCCGAGAATTAATACTTTTCATCAGAGATCTAAATGTAGGCAAGAGAAATTCCTTTTTCTCTGACCAATAAACTAGAGATAAAGTACAAAGCAGATTGGTACAGATGGTGTTTTTTGAAATTGTGATTTATATTTATTGTGTTTGAAGGGTATAAAGGGTATGGGCAGTTGGGAGAAAAAAGGTTGATCAGCACTGTTGGCACATGAAAGCCTGATTTCCTGTCCCTAAAAGGAACAGTATTCAGCATTCATCTGCAGTTCTGAGTCTTCTAACTCCTCCCCATTAAAAGGGAAAAAATGGATTAAAGGAAAATAGAAATGGGTTAACAACTACGTACTAAATAATAACTGTTAGTGGAAAAATATGCTAATCCACAGAATTGCCATTTTTCTCTGCCAGCTTTCCTAAGCAATTAGAATGTGCCCAATGGATAGAAAGGCAATAGTTAAAGGATACATATTCATACAGGATAAATATAGCAGAAAGTTCAATATAAATCACACATATTTGTATAGTTCAATATTTGTATATATTATTTTCAGTATTTTTTATAGTAACCTGCTAAGATAAATTGTATTATAATTCCTTTTATGCAGGATGAAATTGAGAAAGCCTACCGTTATCTAATCAATGTATAGCTTTCTAACACAAAAACTATTCTAAGCTATTACATCATACTAATTATTTCCTGTCCATCCTCTTACACTGAAAAGATCAATACTGTATCTTAAAAGATGCTTATTAAGGACCTCCCATGAAAATAAGTACCAACCTTAATTGAAATCAGAAGAAATATAGCACCTTTATCTTTCTCTATAGTGTGCAACGGGAGCAAAAAACGACAATTGTTTATGCAACTGTCGAAACCCAGAAACTTTTCATTGAACCCCTCCACCCTCTCCCAAAAAACCCACCCAGAACATGCATGCAGCATAATTTTTGAGTAAAATAGTGATTGCACCAATTTTCTGAAAGTGCTGATCTAACTTTTATTGTCCAAAGGGCACTGCATACTGTCAACAATATACATCAATCCTACTGCAAAAGGACATCAGAAAGCCCAGGAAAGTTAATTGATCAAGATCAAATCATATCAGACCGAGTCCCCAGTGACCAAATAGAAAGTTTGATAAACTACTTGGAAACCGATGAAGTTACCCTGAATTCTTTCTTTCTTTTTTTTTATTCCAGGCCTAGATCAGTCCTTTAATCTGTTTCCAAATGCATGCCATTCCTTATTGAAAATGTTTGTCAATCATGATCATATAGATATTCATATTTCAGATCAAACAATGTAACTGCAAGCTCCTCAGGGCACGGATCTGCTCTTTACTATTCTGCACAATGAATGAGCATGGTGTGTGCAAGTATGACTGGCAGTATGTACAGACATAGGATACTTGAATGCATGCACTTCAAGATAGTCAACCCTCTCCAGCTTAATGAACAGGTCATAAGATGAACTATCAGCTGCTATGAATAGAAACATTTAATTAAAACTTTAATTAAAACACTGTAATAGAGAAAGTTGATATTGAAAGTCAAGTTAATATTTCATCACAATTCCATTCAGTGGCGTAGAGTGACAGTAATTTGCTCAAGGTTAACCAAACAAACTTCATGGCACAACATGAATTTGAACTCAAACAATAAATGTCTGTAGTTCATCCTTTGATTTCCGTACACACCATCTGCCAGTAATAATTATTTTTTAGTAAAAAGGAAAACATTTTAAAGGAACAGTTGTTCATATCTGAGATATTCTACCTGGGATACCCATTCACATACGAGAAGCATCAACTTAAAAAAAAATCCACATGTGAAATATTCCTAAGAGAGAAAAAGCCTCCATGGAGATGCTACTCAAAGTCTTATGTATCCAGTAGCAATTGCTGGAAGCCTGGAGTAAATTAAACTCACCCAAACTGAAGCAGATCTAGATTCAAATCCTGGCTCAGCCATGAAATTCACCAGGTTAATCTGGGCTTGACACTTACACCCAAAGGATTGTTGCAATTTAAAGAACAAGAGGGTTAAGCAATTAATTTATACAGCAAACCTATATTAAAATATTCATATAATACATAATCCTTTCTTTTCTCCGTTTTTTTTTTTTTACTCATGAGTGCCTGTACAAGTCCTTGCATTTTTCTTAGAAGCAAAAATTTGCCTGCTTCCTAGGGCTGAGAGAGAAGAAGTACTAGCCCAAAGTCATCAAGGTGGCTTTGTGCAAAAGTGAGGACTATAAATCACAGCTTTCTGGTTTCTAGTCTGGTGCCTGAACTACTACACCAAAGTGTCCGGTTTCCATAAAACTCTCGAATTTAAATTGCCATTTTTGAAACATGTTGGAAACTCCGAATTCTCATGCACTGCAATATGTTCACAGTAGCACTGCAATATGTTCACAGTATTAAATCGAAGACGTTTACCAATTGTTTCTCCGGGGATTACACCTCGACTGGGGCGGGAAAAGGCCTGCGAAAGTTTTATTGTACACAGCAACTCTTTCAGTTCCCCTATCGTTGTATGGGAAGGATGGGGGGGGCGGGAATTCCGCACGCCGGTCTTGTCCGTCAGGGGTGGCCGCAGCCCCACTCCGAGTCTCCCCGCAACTCAGAAAAGCTTCGCCGCTTCTGGAACCGCGGTCACTCCCACATAGCCAGCTTGGCGTTCACGTGCTAGCTCGCTGCTCTTCCACGGGAAAGCTCCTCCGCCATTGGTTGGCAGGCAACATTTGAAGCGCGCCCATTGGCTAGCGCGCAGCTCACACCCCTGCAGGAGCGTCCGCGAGGAAAGAAGTCTTCTTCACAAGTTCTGTAACGAGATCGGGGCTGAGAGAAGAGCAAGGGTGACCCAGGAGGAGTTGGTTTGCTAGGGCGGAATGCATCATCTTTAGCTATTGCAGCAGCCGCTCGCTCTACGTACAACTTTCAGTTAAAGGCGCTAAACGCTGCTCTGTGGGAGGCAAAAGGAAAAAAAACGGAGACCTTGAAGTGCTCTTTAAGCATCCTGAAATTTGCAGGTATTAAATGGGAGACGAGGAAAATTTAATCTCTAGTATTACTTGTTTCAAAGTGGGCTGAGCCGGTCATTTCTTAGTGTTCGCTTCCGCGTTTGGTTTCAGAATGAGCCATAGAAGAACCGCAAATTTATACTTAGATAACGTATCCAAAGCAGTAATCCTGTATCCGGGTTAGCATAGCTCGATCTTCCGTGTTCCTGGTGGGTCGGCGGGTAGGTGAACGCGCGAAAAATACAAAAAAAGTCTAAAACCGATGACCCTAACAGGAACGGGCTACGATCTTAGGACGATTAATAGAAGCTAGGGTAATTAAAAATAGTGCATTTGGAATGAATGGCCTTGGAAACGAAACAGCTGGCGTTTCGCAAGCGGCTCGCCCTGGCACTCTGTGTTAAAGGCTGCTTTTCTCATCTGGTTACTGTGAAATAGTTTGGGGAGAAGCTTTCTGGTACTTTTATTTTCCCCCCCCCTTCCCTTTTTCCCCCCTCCCTGCTTGGATGGATTGTTTGAATGTTGAAAGAAAGGGACGCGGTGAACTAGTTGCTCAGAGGAATTAAAAGCACCGGCCGCTGAATAAAAGCGACCTGACAAGGTGCATCTTGGAATTTCTAGGTGGACGAGCGAGGTCCCCGTCTGGCAACACTCGTCTTAGGCGGACGCTCGGAGCATGCTATAAAATTCACTCGGCGGTTGTGAATGATTAATCGGGTGTTTGTGGAGGGATCCAATGGAATTTTTCCATAAACTTCTCTTTTAAGAGTCGTGCAAATAGCAAAGGCGTTTTAAGGTGCAAATTGACACCAATTAAGCCCATCCGGATTAACAGTACTTCTTTACAGTTGTGGGTATTGACCTTCGAACCTTCGGTTTTTAAGAGTTTGTTCAGCCATAGGGCCTGCTGAAATGAATGGGAGTTACCTATGAGAAAGCATATTGGGGGACCGAGCCTGGTGTCTTTCAGGCAGTTTCTTTCAGAAGAGCTTCTGTGGCTCAAAGGTGGGCAATCTCTGGGGGAAATGGTGGCGGGTTTTTTTTTTGGTCTATATCTTTCCTTCTTTGAAGATAGTTTCCTTTGACATGCATGTAAAAACGGGAGAGACTGATAATTGATTCAGATATACTCACCTACCATACCATCTTGTTTCAGGGAATGAATTTGTAATGCCTGCAGGATGTGAAATTCTGGTGTCCCTCTGTCTTCTGCCCCACAGCTTGAAGCAGCAATCCAGTTCATCTCCTTTGCCCCTATGAGGTACGTCAAACACACACACATATATATTTTAAGAAGCAAGAGGAATCTTTTGAAAGTTAATTTCCTCTTGTCCACAATCACTTATATATTAAGGATTCAATGAGATTTACTCCCTGATAAATAGATATATTTCTGTAGACATACAACCCATATTCTATATGGATTGTATGTCTATATACAAAAAATGTCTCTATCTTGACATATTTAAATCACCCCAGGGAATTCTGGGGTTCTTTGTGATGCTGTCAAACATCTATAGTCCTTTAATTAACATACAGCTATATTCTCTCAACAGTGAAGATGTATTTTAGGTTTGTGTGCCATATATAGGATCAGTCTGCATTTCTATATTATGAATATGATAGACTAGGATGACACTTGATAACACAAATCCTTCCTTCATATATTCAGGGAGATAGTTTTCTGGCTGCTGCCTTGTTTGCATTAGCAGAAGGATGACTAACTGTGTAAAGCCGTTGGCAAGTCCCAAAATACAATACCTGATCTAATCAGTGGACTATTTTTAGTAAATATCGATAAGATAAATATTTAATTTTAAAGCAGACTGGTAATCTAGCTGAGATTGCATAAGTAGGAATGGATGCTATCATTACAAAATGTCAAATTTCCATACTAAGAGTGTCAGCTTCATACAGTTAACCATAGATTCCATTGTTTCCTTATGTTTTCATTCATTTTCATATTCCAAGGGGGCCAAGTCAGGCACATTTATAATAAAGAAGATAGAAAAGGGATGCACCACTCCTGGTTTTGCCCACATTTAAAATAGCAGCATACTTTCTGCATTTTAGATGCTGTATTTAAATGGAAAGATTGCTGTTTCCTTGTAGCACTTTTCAGAGGCAGTCTTAATCTAGTCATTACAGTTTGTGGTCAAAGACCAAAAAAGAAAAGGAAAAACCAACACAATCCAGTAAATGCAATGGAGAGTTAGTTAGCATGTTAGAGGGAGAAAAGTTAATGCTAATCATTAAATGTTGGTGGCCTTCTACCACAGTTATAATTAATTACCCAGTATATTCTAATAGCAATTGCAATTGATCAAAATGAAACAATGTTCACAGAAATATTGGTTGATGGATCCATTTGCAAGATGTGCATTTCAGGCTAGCCCGGGGGTAGGCAACCTTGGCTCTTTTATGACTCATGGACTTCAACTCCCAGAATTCCTGAGCCAGCATGGCTCAGACTGGAAACCTCTCCCTTTCCCCTCAGCATGGCTGGCTCAGGAATTCTGGGAGTTGAAGTCCACGAGTCATAAAAGAGCCAAGGTTGCCTACCCCTGGGCCGCTAGCCTATTCCCTTAATGAGGAGGACGAGCATTAATTCATAGTGCCAAGTATGGTGTAAAGGGTAGCTCAGCAACACTTACGAAATTGTCCTGATGGCCACATCCAAGCAGGACAGAAATGTTCTGAGTAATATCCCTTTCCAAACAAGCAGGAGTAAAACATAGTGCTTGCTAGTGTAAGTGCCTTCCTGTGCAGAACAGAGAGATTGTAAGAGTTCCAATTATGTCTCGATAAAAATCTACTGCAAAGGCCCCCATAACAATGGGTTGAAACTTTGAGTATGCAGATACATATCAAGAATCCTCTGTTTGACCTCAAGCATGGTTTTCTCTGATCCAAGCATAAGCAGTGAATGAGCTGAGAAACTGGAGTTAAAAAAAATAATAATCCAAGGATACATTTTCTTCTAAGAAGAGGCAGAAAGGATTGGTTGAACCAAAGACACAACCCAGAAAATTTAATTTTTTGGTAATATTCAAATATTTTATAGTGTCACAGCCCCACTTCCAGCCAAAGAAATATGTTTGCCTGGATCAAATGAACATAAAACATTCTGATGCATTTTGACTGAATTGCTTCTATTGTCTTTATAATTTTGTTTACTTATTTACTTTGATCTGCGAAAGCAATTCTAGGCCAACAATCAATAGTTTGATATTCTCCTCTCTATTTCAAAAAGTCAGCATAATGACCTAAATTGCATAAATTTGGGGTGTGTAATTTTTTAAAAATCCATGGGCAATATAGGCTTTTGAGTAGTCAGAAGCACGAGAGGTTAATGAGGCCAGGACAAAACTGGAAGTGATTTAATTTACATTTAAATGAGAATAAAAGGAAAAAATGGATTTGCTTAACAGCCATGTGATTTGCTTAAGCACGGTGACTCATTTTATAACAATCATAAAAACGGTCATAAGAATCGAGTCTGGTCATGTGCCTTGACTTAAGACCAAAATTCCAGTCACAATTGTAATAATTCAAGCACATTTTATTATCCAAGCTTCTGGTTTATCTTAAGATCATTTATATTTTACTACTGTGGTGTTCATATTTCTTAGAATTGGACTCATCAGGCAAAATACCTTTTAACTGTTTGTAAGCCACTTAGTGTAATATATGTGAAATGGGCAGCTGTATACAATTATTTATAAAAAAAATATGTTTAAAAGTCAGAAAAAAGAATCTCCAAACCAAGTCTATACTGCTTAGTTGGAGTAAGGGCAAACCTTGAGACTTGCAGTTTAGTCTTAACAGGTACAGGATATAATTGGATTAAGGACTTAGAAAGATTTCCTTTTTAATCTCAAGAAAATTGGATCTCATGAAAATTCTAGAGAAAATCTTAGAGAATAAAAATGGTGTGCAATTGTACCTTTGTTTGCAAATGTGACATTTCATCTACAAAAGAAATGAAGATGAGATTGTGCAAGGCATTCTGGAAGGCTAAGGGATGTAAGGGAGTTATCTCACCAGGTATATCTGGTGATATTTTTATGGGTATTCCTAGAATGTTTTCAAAATTTCAAATTGACCAGAGGGACTGGTCTTTAATGAAATTTAATGTCTTCTGTAATATGAAAGATCTATAGCCGAAAATACACGCTACTGAAAAATACAGGTAATCTTTGGGTTATGATGGCAATTGGGACTGGGATTGCATAGCTAAGCAGGGTGATTGTAAAGGGCAATGTCACATGACTGCATCACTTGGCGATGGCAATTCTGGGCAGCTTTGGTTGCTGTTGTAACCCCAAGACATAGATCATTAAGTACGACGAGATGGAAGTCCTAGATAAATAGCATGGGGTGCCATGGGGGATGGGGTGGAGACTGGGGGAGGACCCAGGAGGACCAGTGGAAGCATGGGCAGGTGGGGTAGGGGGGAGAAAAAGCAAGACCAGCTTACTGGAGTGACTTGTTATCTTCCCTGCCGGCCTTCCTGTTGAATTTGCTTGTGGGATGCTAGCAGGGAAGGTCACAAATGGCAATCACATAACCCTAGCTCCCTGCAACATTGTAATTGTAAACTGGATTGTGATCGTGACCACCAAGGTTCTATGATGGCCAGAACTCTGAGCACTTGTTCTATGTCCACTGTTTCAGTGCTGCTATAATTTTAAGTGGGCGCTGAATAAATGCACATAATCTGTGGACTACTTGTAAATTGAATGCACTTGTTAAAATATGCCAGGAACTATTATAGAGGGGTCCTCTGCTGCAGTTGTAAATAGTAAAGAAACTAATATAATAATAAAAAAGAAGACATAGATCTCAATAGGAGCCGATAGCAAGGGGTATCTTTGCTTATTTGTGTTATCTATTGGCATCACCTTTCACTTTGAATAGATTGCTACTGATGTCTAGATATCTTCAGGATTACAGTAATTATTTACTATTATTGGATACTTTACTATTCATCTTATTGGGCTTATGATTTGGTCAGCAGTAGTAAAGCCCAGATGGTTGGCTCCCATGCTAGCAGCCTCCTGTTGTTTCCTTCACGTGAGTGGATCAATTGAAAGAAGTCCAGCTCACAATATAGCCAGCATCGTGTTGTGATTAATGTATTGGACAGAACTGAGTGGAGGGGGCAGGTTTACAGTTCTAGAGCTCAACGAGTGATACTAGGCCAGTGTTTTCTCTCTCAACCTAGCTACTTTCCCATTCGTTGATAGGAGGATGAAATAAGGAACATCTGTGTATGTGTGTTCTCCTGAGTCCACAGAGGACAGCTGGGATATAGATCTAAAGAATAATATTACCATCTCCCAGGAGAGCTATTGATGCTCAAATGTAGGGAAGGACAATTTTCTTGAGTCAGACCTGCAACACCAGCGGACTGGAGAGCTATTCATAATGTCTCCAAAAGATATTAATACTTCACAGGAAGTATTTTTTGCCTGCTCTTCGTGGTTTTCCTAAAGTTTAAGCTAGAAGTGAGAAGAGGAAGCCCCTTCAAATAGTCAAAAAAGTTAAATACTTGGGCATTTATCTAACTGCAAAATATACAACATTAAAAGAAGATAACTATGAGAGACTAATGAAACAAATAAAAATAGACTTGGAAAAGTGGGAAAATCTTCAACTATCACTGTTAGGAAGAATAGCGACTGTTAAGATGAATATTTTACCAAAGCTAATTTTTTTTATTTCAAACAATTCCCGTTAAACTGAGCAAGAAATTTTTTGATGATTTAAATGCAATAATACTAAGATTTATATGGCAAAAAAAGAAAACCAGAATTAAATGTAAACTGTTACAAGAAGCCAAAGACAGAGGGAGCTTTGGACTTCCAGATTGGAGACTATTATCAAGCAGCTATTCTGCTTTGACTCAAAGAATGGATTGTACTGAGAAACAAAAGATTGCTCTACTTAGAGGGACATGATCTTCAACTAGGTTGGCATGCCTTTATATGGTATGACAAAGCTAAAGTGCATAAATATTTTCAAAATCACGCTATAAGAAATGTATTACTTTCAGAATGGGAGAAAATTAGACATAAAATGTATATGAAAATACCTGAGTGGCTCTCAACAATGGAAGCATTTGCTTATCCAAATTTGATTAATTATGACAAGCTGGTTAGTTATAAAGACATTTTGGATAAAGATGGAAAACTTAAGGACAGGCAAACCCTTCAACAACAAGGTATTGACTTAACATGGTGGTCCTATTTGCAAATT